GTAGGCATTGGGTTTCCTGTGACAACACAGGTTATAAACCCTTCCTCACCCACGGTAAGGAACTGCTCTTCTTCTGCATCTTCAAACTCTATACCTTCTACATGGGGAGACAAAAAATGGGATAAATGTGGAATTATCACTTTTTGAAACAGTGCCCTCTAGTGGTGATATAGTACCACCATACTGCCATGTGCATTTATTGATTAATTCGATCCCCTTGGTCAAAAACCAGCAACTGAAATCAGATATATATACCAGTAGATTTCACTAAACAAAGCAAATTATTTTTGCTCTTGTAATATTAACATAGTAACTGAACTAAACTAAAAACAAGAACAGTGAAAGGCAGTGAATAATTAAAACATTTAATCAAAGTTTTTTTTAATGTTTGTTCCATTTTTCTTTTTTTTTCTTTTTTAACGAAAAATTCACTGAAAACTAAAAAAAAAAACGATCACTATAAAATACAATGAGATGCAAACTTACTATAAATTTGTACACTAACTGTTTTTGAGAGACTACCAGCTCTACAAGAATACGATCCTGCATGGTTTTCTTGGATATTATCAAAAAATAATACGATGGCGAATTTACCGTCCTGCTCAGTATACCGCTCCTGACTACCGCCTGTAACGAACATCATTGTTAGATTGAACGGTTGTTGTGATAAGCAGAGCCACAAATCATGCAGTTGTAGGTATCCTTGAAAATAAGTTATTATTTGTAGATGCAAGAATCAAAATTAAGGCATGTCTAACTGTCTCAGACTTTAGCACAGGTGAATAAAGATGGATAAATTTGACCAAATTCTAATGTCCAGAAAATTTCTTTCAGAATTTTTAAGAATTTTTAAGAATTATGAAATGATGAGGCAATAATTGAATCTGAAGCTTAAGACCACATGTGTTTTTTTGCACTAATTTGTTTATTTTTCTCTAGCAATTCAACCATCCGGCTGGGAAGGCAAACATCAGAGAAGGGCTTAAATTTCAGTATTCTGACAACACCAAATTTCAAGACCAATATGGCTTCATTTTGGAGTGATATTTATACAATTGCCTTCATGAATTATGCATCCTGTTTGTGTTATCTGTGTTGATTCAGGTTTTACAGTTTCACATGATCAACTATTATGTGTACATTGATAAAGCTAGTTGTATTTACCTGAACCTCTGTCATATACTTGGTTTCCCTGTGGATCAATCCAGATAGGATATTCATATTTATTGGTGCCTATGCTTTCACATGTAAATGAAAATAATGATCCTTCTTCAAGATACTGGTCAGAACCCGGTATTATTTCTAATTGTTGTTGACTGTGGCATACTGAAAATGAGAAGAAGAAAAAAATATGAGGATACCGGAAAGTATGCACGAAGACAGTACAGATTAGAAGACAAGCTGGAATCGAAATTTTTGGAAGTCTGATGGGTTAACAGTTTTAAAAGTATATTATTATATGGTATTATTTGGTAGTCAATCTGGTTTTCAAGGTACTTTAGAGCCATGCAGAAGAACACAAATAGAAATAAATGTCATTTTGCTTGATTTGTGAATGATATCCGAAGTTTTGAAAACTAATAATTGGTTTATTTCAAAGTAGTCTAAGAGGGCTACTACATTTTAAAATGGTAGCCCCAGGACAAGTTTTGCTAGTCTGAGTGTCTTCAGCTACTGTTAATTTAGAGCCCCGACAATAAAACATCTCTTTTGCCTGTAAAATTATTTGGTGTAAATTCACTATATATATTAAACACGGTAAACAGCAAAAAATGGAACTTAATTGGGCTACAGCGCCACCACCATCAAAATCTTGTATTAGATGATCCAAGTTTTAATTCTGCAGTCCATTTTAATCTTTGCGTTCTCACATAATCTCTTTGGGATTAAGTCAGAACAAAACTCTCTTCTCTCCACTCTGAATAAAACCCAATTTATTGCATATTCAGCAGTAATGTTAGTAAGAAAATACAATTATATATAAAATGTCAGTTATTGTTATTTCTGATTTCAAATATTTTGTATAAATATCCACTGGCTTGGATTATTAATATGTAATTGCAGTCATTAATAGTTGATTCTGAGATGTATTTTATTAACATATCCCAAGGTTTGGATAAAGTCATCGCTCATTTTTCACATTTCCTATGCAATAATGTGAGTAGGCAGATAAATTGGATTCTTTCACACAGACTACTTAGGTAGCTAAAGAGACATTAAGGACAAGAGTAGACAGCTATATTTAGTCATCAGACAGCTTCAGAGGAAACCATAGAATATTTGTGCTCAACTGCTAGAAATGTTATAACCTCATAGGAAATACTGATGCAGTAACCATAGTGACCATGATGTGCTGTAAACCATCTTAGTTGTACATTGAACACCAAAGTCAATTTGTATCACTTTACAAAAATATTGAAACCAGCAAACACAAATTCCTTATCATATTGCAGAATTTGTCCAGAATTAAACACAGAAATTATACACAAAAAATATAACCAACATTTGGGGGGTTGATGTTCAAAGGGTTTCAAAATCAATGAAAGGAAAAACACAGACTGTTGTATCCACTGAATTAGGTTAATATGATTAAATATTCAGATTATGTGTGGTTCAATGCAGTCTTTGCTATATAGAGATCAGTATCAGTGACTTTCACAGAACCACTCTTCAAGAGATTCTGAAACAACATAGACAGTAATAATTGCATATGCCCAAAATTTGTGTGAGTGAAAATTTATAAAATTTTATGAACTAGAATATTCTATAGGGAAATTACCCAAAGATTTATTTGTACGGATAGAATGAGTGCATAATCAAAGCCCTGCAACATAGTCAACACATTGCAAGATGCTGAATTGTAGGAGTTACAAACATTGACTTACAAAAACTAAAAGCAATGCAACATTTTGTTTGTTTGCTTTAAAATTAAGATTGAATTCCATGGAAATTACAGAAATGTGAACAAATTTACCCTTAATTGATCAACAACAAAAAATTTTTGATCAAAAGGTTAAAAATACAAATTTCTAAAATTCATTTCTTAAAAATTAGGATTTAGAAAAATAAGTGTAAAAATATCCGTTTCAAGGTTGGAAGTTCATCTTATCCTTTAATAGCAAAAATCATCTTATTTGCCCAGATACAAATCGGCCTTGGTGACTGGGAAAGTTAGAGGAAACTTAGTAATTACTGAGACTTTTACTGAAATAAACATGAAGAGAAATTTACTCCATGGAGAGTGGGTGTGGTACTGAACTTGATCCTCAGAAAGTCAGTGCATAACAAATTGTTACCAGGCAGGGAAAAGTACTAAAGTAAACAAACACAGCAAGACATTTCAAATGGCATCTCCAGAGAGTTATGGTAATCACTATCAAACAGAAAACACTAGCTAAGGTCAAACATACCAAGTAATGTCAACATTTTTTCCACCAAAAGATTTGTTATCAATTTCTATTATTTTTATTTTTTACACCTTTTGTGAAATAAAGTATAATTATTATTATTACTAAAACAACTAAAACATTGATTTTTTTTTTTGTAACCAAAGATTGAAAGATTGCTATCCCCACATGACTGACCCTCACAACCATTCATCAACCAGGGTTCCTAGTCATATTTCACATTAATTAATGAAGTTATTAAAACATGATAAAAATTCACAAAATAAACAGCAACTTTCAGTATTCTCACCACACATATTTTGCTGCATGATTTAATTTTTGTCCAAGTTTTTTTTTTACTCTCATGAAACAAATTGTCTCACAAAAGTGTAAGAAAATACAAGTGACAATTCATAGAACTGGGTACACTGTCATCACTATATGGGGGACAATTTAAAATATTTCGTTTACTTCTCTAGTTCCACATGGATAGATAATTGTCTCATACTTTCTAAACTGATGGAACAAATTCTACCACACATTGTTTAATTCCTGATGAGAACACTGATTTACACACATCTCTTTGATAAATACAATAGACCAAGTATTCTTTTTAAAACACAATCAGAAGACAGCTTGCAAGAAACAAGTGTAGCAGATAAAATAATCAAATCCATACAGTAGGATGCAACTGATTATTATTATGAATATTAGTTTGAAACAAGTTACTTTTAATTGAATTCTCTGAATACCCAAGTCAGAATAAACAAGTCATTGTCAATGACACGTCCCCGTTCCGTTCATATTTGAGTGACATATACATTCAAAGCAGATCATGACCGAAATGCACCTGCATATGTACAACACATTGTACTAAATTTTTAAAACTAGCGCCGAAGGCGCATATTAGTTTTTATGTTTATATAAGAGATTGCATACTTACCTTTGGTTAATGAAATTTTAATTTCATAAACAAATGGGATAATTGCCAATTATCATATAATACTGGTTAAATAAAA